TATTGGTACATTTTAGGGATACAGTAAAAATGGGAAGAAAGTGGCTAAAGGTGTAGGGAAGGTGGGATGGGTAGGGGAAGAGTAATAATGGAAAAGAAAAATATGTGAGATAATGACTTTAACTCTTCTTAGAAGAGCTATCGATAGGTTAAATGGCATTTCTGCTTTTAGCTTTTTGCATGATTTCCATATAATATCTGTAGTTTACATTACCACCAACAATGCAGAATGGTTATTTTTTTTCCCCACAATCTTGCTAGCATTTGCTGTTTTTTAAGTCCTTGATAATAGCCATTCTTACTGGGATAACATAGATTCTCAATGGTGTTTTGATTTATATTTGTCTAATGGCCAAAGATGTTGAACATTTTTTCATGCACTTATGAGCCATTGAGACTTCTTTTGAAAAGTGTCTATTCATTTTAATTGCCCATTTTTGATTGAGCCATTTATGTTGATATGTGCATTTTTAAAACTCTGTACAAATTAAAGTATTGTACTAACATTATAGTATTGTTTCCGGAGTAGCTAGCATTTTTTTCCTTTCTGTAGGTTGTCTCTTCACTCTGTTGGCTGTTTCCTTTGCTGCACAGAAGCTTTTCAATTTGATATTCAGTAATTCCACTTGTTGATTCTTGGTATTATTGTATAATTGGAATTCTCTTGATAAAGTCCCTCCCTATTCCTATGTCATCAAGAGTCATTCGAGAGATGCAGATGAAAACAACCCTGAGATTCCACCTCATCCTACAAAGAATGGCTGCTATCAAGAAACCAACCAATAACAAATGTTGGCAGGGTTTGGGGGAGAAAGGAATCCTTCTCCATTGTTGTTGCAAGTGCAGACTGGTGCAACCACTATGGAAATCAACATGGAGATACCTCAAAGAGCTGGGACTAGAGGTACCATTTGACCCAGCCATCCCTCTGCTGGGTAGCTTCCCAAAAGAATTAAAAGAATCATACCACAGAGATATATGTGCACCAATGTTTATAGCGGCACAGTTTGTAATAGCTACAATTTGGAAACAGCCCATCTGCCCATCAGTTGGAAACTGAATAGAGATGTGGATTTTCTATAAAATGTAGTACTACTCAGCCATAAAGAATGAGAAATTAGATTCATTCATAGGAAAATGGACACATATTGAGGATATACTCTTTTAAGTGAAGTAAATAAGTCACACATGTGTAAATACCGTATAGTTTTTCTGGTGTGAATAAACTATAATAGTACATAAGATCCTAATGAGACAATCGACAATGTGAAATAGGAAGACAAGGGCTGAAGATGTAGGGGAAGTGGGAACGGTAGGGGAAAGGTAATAAGGGAAAAGAAAAAAATATGAGAAAATGAAAAAAATGGGAATAAATTATTTTTAAATAGGTAAAGGAGGAGAGAGTGAAGGGAGGGCAGGGATAAGGGGAAAAAAATGAGAACCAAGACCTGTCATGTAAAGGTACAAGATCCCAATGATAAATGTAACTGTACTATATACCTAAAATGGACCAGTAAACTCAATGAGAAAAAAAGTTTTATTTTCCAACAGACTCAATATTTATCATTTTAACTGAACTAATTAATAATGCCCTCCCTTACTTTTTTTATACTGCATCTTTTCCTCATTTCAACTTCTTAAAAAGTATGATAGTGTCATTGTCACTTTTTCATCTCTGAGATACAGTACTTGAAACCGACAGTTTAAAAGCCAGGTTTATTTTGGCTTACATTTTCTAACGATTTCAGTCCATAGTTGGCTGGTTCCAGGGCAGAAGCATGATAGAAGGACCTACTATGAAAGAAGCTGGCTCAATCCATGACAGCTAGGAATGAGAGAATGAAAGGAGGAAGAGGGGAGGG